AGATGCTTCTGTATAACCTGAGATTTAATAAGAAACACAATGAGATTATTATCCTGCTTGCGCCTTCTTTGTTTGATTTAACTACAGGTCAGTGCCTAGTCTTGCCAAATGCTGTGTACGCGCATCGAGGCCAGACATCAGCTCCAGAGCCTGAGCCAGAACCACAACTAGACCCTTATCGTCCATCATCTTATCAGTGGGATCCGGAGGAGATCGCCAGTCAGTGGCAGTACAATGGTGCTCCTCAGTACACCGGGGAGAGTAGCCGCTATCCTTGGCATTAGACCAACTTAGGCCAAAAGCCTAAGCTTGGGGGAGTACATATTTCTCACCGACTTTACATTCATGTTCACACACTATTCTACTTGTCGGTGCTCATACTCTTTCATTATATTATCCATGCTAGTTTAATTTCCTTTTTCTAGCTTTCTTCTTATGTGTTTGATAAACCTTATGAAAAACCAAAAAATTAATTAGTTTAATTTCCATGCTTGCAGTAGTAATTAAAATGAAAACCCAAAAGATTTCTCGTTCTTCTTTTGCTTGTTGGGAGCTTTCCCGTGTAAATAGTTTTATTTCTTTTCTTTCCTTTGGGGGTCAAGAGTAGAAGACCATATTGAAAATGCTTAGTGGCTCTCATATGCATGATTGTTGATTTAATTTAGAGTCTATATTACTTTGTCTTCTCTATTAAATCTAATGCTTGCAGATTTCAGCTTAGTCCAATGCACGTGCATTGTTATTATTATACACACCATTCGGTCATACAAGTGAAAGGCAATAATGACGATATATGATGGACTGATTGAGATGAGAGAAGCTGGTATGAGCTCAACCTCTCTTGTTTTTGTAAATATGATGAGTTCATCGTTCCTGATTCAGCTTATTATGAATAAACATGTTTGCAATGACATTTAGAGGTTATAGTTGCTTATGGCATGCTTAATTAGCTAGGAGCTTATAATGGTTTACCTTGTGTGCCAACATGCTATTAAAACGATTTTGATGTGGTATGATGGGATGGTATCCTCCTTTGAATGAATTGAGTGACTCGACTTGGCACATGTTCACACATGTAGTTGAAACAAAATCAACATAGCCTTCACGATATTTATGTTCATGGTGGATTATATCCTACTCATGCTTGCACCTGGTGTAAATTAATTTTAATGCATGTTCATGACTGTTGTCGCTCTCTCAGTTGGTCGCTTCCCAGTCTTTTGCTAGCCTTCACCTGCACTAAGCAGGAATACTGCTTGTGCATCCAAATTCCTTAAACCCCAAAGTTATTCCATATGAGTCCACCATACCTTCCTATATGTGGTATCTACCTGCCGTTTCAAGGAAATTTGTATGTGCCAAACTCCAAACCTTCAAATAAAATTCTGTTTTGTATGCTCGAGCAGCTCATGTTTCTACTAGGGTTGTCTGTATCTTCCATGCTATGTGGGTTATTCTCAAGAGGAGTAGACTCCGCTCCTCATTCACAAGAAAATGGCTGGTAAACAGGATGCCCAGTCCCATGATCAAAAAGATCAAAGCAAATCAAAATAATTAAAACAAAACTCCCCCAGGGCTGTTGTTAGTTGGAGGCACTCATTGTTTCGAGCAAGCCATGGATTGATGCTTGTTGGTGGTGGGGGAGTATAAACTTTACCATTCTGTTTGGGAACCGCCTATAATGTGTGTAGCATGGAAGATATCGAGATCTCATAGTTGTTGTGTTGACAGTGAAAGTATTACGCTCAAAATGTTATTCATCTCTATTTTAAAATCGAGCTCTGGCACCTCTACAAATCCCTGATTCCCTCTGCGAAGGGCCTATCTATTTACTTTTATGTTGAGTCATCACCCTCTTATTAAAAAGCACACGCTGGAGAGCACACTGTCATTTGCATGTATTGTTGTTAGTTTATATTGGATATGACTTGACTGGATCTCTTTTACCATGAATTACAATGTTTAGTCAGTCCTTGATCTTTAAAGGTGCTCTGCATTTATGTTTTGCGGTCTCAGAAAGGGCTAGTGAGATACCATCTTGTTATATCATATTATGATTGTTTTGAGAAAGTGTTGTCATCGGAGTTTTATTATTATTGCTCGCTAGTTGATTATGTCATTTATATGAGTAAACATGAGACCTAAGTGTTATTGTGAATATGGTTAGTTCATAATCTTTGCTGAAACCTTGAATGCTGGCTTTACATATTTACAACAACAAGAGCAAACAGAGTTTGTAAAAGTTTTTCTTTATCACTTTCAGTTTATCAACTGAATTGCTTGAGGACAAGCAAAGGTTTAAGCTTGGGGGAGTTGATACATATCCAACCTATCTACTTTTCCCAACACTTTTGCCCTTGTTTTGGACTCTAACTTGCATGATTTGAATGAAACTAACCCGGACTGACGTTGTTTTCAGCAGAACTGCCATGGTGTTGTTTATTGTGCAGAAAACAGAAGTTCTCGGAATGACATGAAAATCCACGGAGATAACTTTTGGAAAATATAAAAAAATACTAGCAAAAGATCAAGGCCAGGGGGGCCACACCCTGTCCACGAGGGTGGGGGGCGCGCCCCCTCCCCCTGGGCGCCCCCCTGTCTTGTGGGCCCCCTGATGCTCCACCGATCTCAACTCCAACTCCATATATTCCGTTTCGCGGAGAGAAAAAATCAGAGAGGAAGTTTCATCGCGTTTTACGACACGGAGCCGCCGCCAAGCCCTAATCTCTCTCGGGAGGGCTGGTCTGGAGTCCGTTCGGGGCTCCGGAGAGGGGGATTCATCGTCGTTGTCATCATCAACCATCCTCCATCACCAATTTCATGATGCTCACCGTCGTGCGTGAGTAATTCCATCGTAGGCTTGCTGGACAGTGATGGGTTGGATAAGATTTACCATGTAATCAAGTTAGTTTTGTTAGGGTTTGATCCCTAGTATCCACTATGTTCTGAGATTGATGTTGTTATGACTTTGCTATTATTAATGCTTGTCACTAGGGCCCGAGTGCCATGATTTCGGATCTGAACCTATTATGTTTTCATGAATATATGTGAGTTCTTGATCCTATCTTGCAAGTCTATAGTCACCTATTATGTGTTATGATCCGTCAACCCCGAAGGGACAATAATCAGGATACTTCTCGGTGATGACTGTAGTTTGAGGAGTTCATGTATTCACTATGTGTTAATGCTTTGGTCCAGTACTCTATTAAAAGGAGGCCTTAATATCCCTTAGTTTCCACTAGGATCCCGCTGCCATGCGAGGGAAGGACAAAAGATGTCATGCTAGTTCTTTTCCATAAGCACGTATGACTATTCGGAATACATGCCTACATTACATTGATGAACTGGAGCTAGTTCCGTGTCACCCTATGTTATAACTATTACATGTGGAATCACATCCGACGTAATTATCCATCACTGATCCAATGCCTATGAGCTTTTCACATATTGTGCTTTGCTTATTTACTTTTCCGTTGCTACTGTTACAATCACTACAATATTGCTATCTTTACCTTTGCCACTGTTACCATTACTGTCATACTACTTTGCTACTAAATACTTTGCTGCAGATACTAAGTTATCTAGGTGTGGTTGAATTGACAACTCAACTGCTAATACTTAAGAATATTCTTTGGCTCCCCTTGTGTCAAATCAATAAATTTGGGTTGAATACTCTACCCTCAAAAGCTGTTGCGATCCCCTATACTTGTGGGTTATCACACTACAAGTTTGGTTTATATATACTGCAAATAACCACTCTTGCTTATATACGCCGCTCTGTACTAGTGAAATTTTAGTTCACTTGAGCCACTCATGGTGATAAATGTTAGGATGCTATCAACCCCCAAGGTTCACAAATAAGTTCAATCAAGAATAACAAAATGTGTTATAAATCAGTGATGTAACATAGGGGAATAATTTGTCAACTATCATACAGGTTTATATGGCAGTCTAGATATCACATATTAGAAAAATGTGGTCACACATGAGTTGCTGAACATTTGCACCTTGTTACAGTTCATTGATTTCAGTAACCTAGCTAGTTAGATCACAAACCAACAGTCTGGAAAAATAAAAACTGCATCACAAGATAGTGCATATTATTAGAGATAGTTTAGAAAAAGGGATACCATATAGCATTTTCAGGACGAAGTCCCTCCTCAGAATGCCTGGAAGCACAAGCATCATGTTCATGTGCTCTGGAGCTTTAGTGAATATTGTTGCAGCTTCAACGATCTCGCTCCGAGTAAATGCAAGCCTAGACAATTCACTAATTGCCTTCTCTTGATTTCTGTTGAGGGTCTTCTTGTGCTGCTTCTCGTGCCATTGCTGTTGTGAACAATGTTGTCATTGCACCCACATGTAGTGTCACGATGCTCAGCTGGCTATTGACATCTTGAAGCATGGTTGCAAATGGATCGCTTGATCCTGTCGCCCTCTTTGGCATTGGCTCCTTTTTCTACCTCTTCGAACTAGTTGTATCAATAGAACAAGTGGCAATGGAACGTCAAGCTGTTACTGTTGAGATCATGTCCTCTTCCTCATTTTCTTCTTCCTCCATAGCAATTTCCTTCTCCAAGTTTCCCACTGCCTCTCCAAAGCCTTCAACACTTTCTCCTGTTGCAATCTCTTTGCCATAGATAGCAGCCAATTGATCAAAGTATGGAAATGATACACCATACAATCCCTTAGCCTCCTTGTGAATCTACATGTTTTTTACAAAAGAAGAAAGTTGGTTTTCGATAGCAAGGACAATAACAAGGGATAGAAACGGTACTACTTTCTCCTTGAACATATTAGGAATAGTAGCACTAAAAAGGCAGCAAGGGATGATCCAAATACAAAAAACACTGAAGAGAAAACACTACAACAACAGGTAACCAAGGTACAATAGCAAGGAAATTCAGCACAAAGCATTACTAAGGAATTCAGTTTTAGTGATTCAAGTGATCTACCTGACAATGAGCTTCATATTGTGCCTTCTCGCACTGAATCATCTTTCAACTTCCATCCCATGTGAAACCACTTTTGGATAGAATTACTTCAACGACATCAAATTTCTTCCTGAAGTGCCTCACTCTTGATTCAATGTGCGGAGATGCAGTGATACCATGGCTTGGACACTTTTCAGCAAGATGCTTTTCCAATATCCCCAGGTATCCACCCCTGAAGTCACCATCACCTTTCCACCTCGGGTCCAAAGATAACTCATACAAATCTTTAATAAGCTCATCGTCCTCATCGGAAGACCAATTCCTTTTATTCTTTCCTCTTACACGAGACGTGCTCGAGCTATCCACACGGTCCATATCTGCACAAGCAAGAATGGGTACAAATGAGATGGCAAAAATATATGAAAGAGAACAAATGCAAACGATATGCAATTGTAGCTTGCAAATATAATTGAAAGGGAACAAATTTAAATGATATGGAAATATATATATATAAGGGAACAAATAGAAACAACTTATACCTCAAGGCGCCCTAGAAGCCCTACGTCTATTATACATGCCCTGAGCAAGTTCATACCGAAAATTTGTCCACTCATTCGAAGTTGAGATAGAAGTGATGAATTCTGGTTGATCCAATTCTCCCTCCATGTCTTCTAATGTTTCTTGTATTATTGGCTCGTTGATATCAAGTGGGTCGATAGACATCTTTTGCAATATAAGATTATGCAAGAGTGCACATGCCATGATGATTCAACATTGGGTCTTCATGGAAAAAAAAGGAAGGAGACCTCAAAATCCCCCGCCGACCCTTGAGCCTTCCAAAGCACCTTTCTACTATATTTTGAGCTCTAGCGTGGTGCATGTTGAGATACTCTTATGTGCTACGAGGTGAATTTTGTGGGTGTCCAACCACCCAAGTGATACCTTTGACCTTGGTATGGAGCTAAAAATCCTTTTGCATTTGTATAGCTAGCATCGACAAGATAATATTGGCCTTTGGGGACACACAACCCATTTGGTCGTGAGATAGCATCCCTAAGAACCCAACCATCATGCGCGGACCCTTCCCAACCGGGTAATATGTAGATGGATTGCATGTTAGGTGCACATACACCTAACACATTTGTATCTATATCACCCAACTGATCGATACCTTCCTTTCAGATTAGCTGGGACTGTTACGCCTATGTGTGTGTCGTCTAACGCTCCAAGGAAATTCTACAACATAAAGAGCAATGTGCAAATATTAGCATCTTTTACCACTATTGAGATCATCTAGTAAATAATATTTTTTTATTAGTAGCTATTTACCTTGAAATACTTCCACTTATCATCGCTGCAATCCTCGGGTATAGGTTCAGGCTTCTGAAGTAGCAGATGGTGCAGCTTCAAGACAGCTAAAAGACAAGCGTTAAAGTTTCTATTAATTGGCTCAGGGCTTCGATACAAGAATTTTCCTACTGTCCTATTTTTGAGATGGTGTGATAATACATACAAGAATGATGCCACTATATCCTCTAATGGTGTGTTCTCTGTATCCTTTAGACCACCAATATCTCTCACCATCTCACATAATATACGAAATGTTCTCCTATCCATATGAAGTTGACTTATACACATGGCGTCGCTCTCACCAATTAGTCGATACAAGTTCTCTCCCCTTAACTCTCTAATTTTAATTCTCCTTTCTATTTGCCAACATTTTCTCCTATAAGCTAATGCAAACGTGAACCACACATAATAGTATACAAGCATAATGGAAGTGGTCAGATTCAAAAATATTGCATTTCTCCTTCCACACCTCGCACTTAAGGGAAGATGAGCCATAACTGCATAAGGAAAATATAACTATTTAAGGTTGGTACGACTTTCTTTCCTAATAATTGGTAGTAGTGCAAAACAAGAAACTGGATAGATTTCAGGATGACCAAACAAACATCCGTTGATTAGATGAAAGATAATAAATGGTGATTATATTAACATGCAATTGATCATGCAAAGGTATAATGGATCCAAAAAAACTTGCACATCAGAAGCCTAATTAAGTCATATACAAATACAACTGCTGCATATGGATAGGAAAATTGCATATCAGAAAATTACAGGAACAGTCAACCCGTATCTAGTTGATATGCATGTGGATATCATCGTCGATCTACTGTCATGCAAAGTTCCAAGTATCAGGATATGATTTCACATCAGAAAGCTAAAGAAGATGGTCCAATTGACAGCAGGAACATGCATCGAACAAGACACCTTCCTTCCTTTTTGTGACCAGCCAACCTAATTCATCTATTTGCCTAGTTACCTACCTAGACAGATCAAGAACACATCAGAAAAATACAAAGGATAGACCACCAATTATATTCCATTGGTTATCCACTAATAAAAGAACAGATCAAGAACACATATTTTTTTACTTCAAGATCAAGAATAGATCATTAATAGACATCAACCTATAACATATCATTAATAGATCAAGAACACATATTTTTTACTTCAAGATCAAGAACAGATGGAAATATATTCTATACATCAACCTATAACAGATCATTAGTAGATCAAGAACAGATCAAGGAGACATATTTTTTTACTTCAAGAGCAAGAACAGATATATTAGTAACCCTAACCTTGAGATCTGCAGTAGGAGAGTGATAGAGGAGGAAGATATCCGTTCGGAGATGGGTGGATGGGCCTTGCTTCTCTTCGTACATGGCTTCAATGGTCCACCCTCATCGGCGTCGGAGGCGGCTGGCATGGTCGTTCTCAGCGACTGGTGTGGCGAGGTCAACCCGGCGGCTGGACCAAGAGGAGAGGACCGAAGGGGGTCGAGGGAAGGTGGCGGCGCTGGACTGGAAGGGAGGCGGCGACGCAGTGACGTGGGACTCGAAGGGAGGTGGTGGCGCAGATAGATCGAGGGGAGGAGCGAGACGCGGGGGAGGAGCGGAGTTGGGAGCGGTAAGGAAGCCTTTACTGGTGGGGGTGGGAGTATCGTTTGATAACTGGCCTGGAACTGATTACAGAGGAACGTGATTACGGAGGTGTCTCACCAAATGCACGTAAGGGTATCCGTTTACAATGTAAACAGGTGACATGCAGAATTTGACGAAACAAACACCTCCATAGTGGGCAACATGTGTTAGATGGCCAATTTATGCGCCGCAGGTTGTCCACGTGAGGCATCGATGATGGACCACCAACCACATGAAGAACTTGCATCTTGGCGGAGCTTTGGTTTTCCAAATTGGATTGGCACAACCAAAGGGGATGCTCGCCATGAAGAACATATTGTAAGCGCTGCTGATGGAGTATTGGTGGTCATCAGTAAGCCTCCACTGCGGATGGTCTTGTGCATCAGCAGATGGGTTGATCGCCTGCACCGTGTCCTAGATCTTGAGATATTGCGCCATGGCCTTCAGCAAGACCCCACCTTGAATTTGTCTGATACAAGTGTTGTTGTTCAAAGCCTCCTTGGCAGAACAGCCCGAATAATAAGTGTATCCTAAAAAATGATTGAAACCTACCGTCAGGAAAAGTTCCCGCGAACCAACATGTGGTTTGGATGGTTAGAGGGGCAGTGGTATCCCTAGCTCACCAGGGTTCAAGTCCTGGTGCTCGCATTATTCCTAAATTTATTTCAGGATTTCCGGCGATGTGCTTTCAGTGGGAGGAGACGTTCCCGTCGACGACAAGGCGCCTACGGTGACTTCATAAATTTCAAGATGACATGCTGGCTCAGTCTTGGAGGTGCTCATAGCAGTAGGGTGTGCGTGTGTGCGTTCATAGGGATGAGTGTATGCGCATATGTATGAGCGCTTGCGTCTGTATTGATGTTCAAAAAAGGAAAAGTTCTCGCAAAAAAACATATGGAAATTATACCAAATTTGGTATATGATCAATCTCATCAAATTTGTTGTCGGAAATTGTTCCTTCCACTTAAAGGCCCATGTCCTTTATTTGCATATATAGACAGGATCGATTGAAGCAAGCTGAAGGAATTCATCCCCTCCTCAAGGCAGCACGATGCAGCCCCTGGCCGCAATACTCGCCTCTGTCCTCCTCGCCGTCGTTGCCATGGCCGACCCCTGGCCCTCCCCTGCCATCATCAATGCGACATGCTCCATCTTTGCAAAGACCTGCGCCTACCCTAGCTACGACTACCACGTGAACATGCTCTCCACCTTGGACCCGACCTCCTCCAAGGACGAGCACGACCTCGCCAACATCTCCGCCAACGCCACTGCGCACAACATCACATCTACGGTCAAGCTCATCGGAGGCCTACTAACCGACCTCACCACTAGTAGAAAACGGCTCATTAATCCAGGTTCCAGAGGGCCTTTAGTCTCGGTTCTGGAACCGAGCCTAAAGGGTCGGGACTAAAGCCCAAAACCTTTAGTCCCGGTTCGCTTACAAACCGAGACAGAAGGGGCTCCACGTGGCCAGTGCGGGGCGCCCAGGAAGGAGGACCTTTAGTCCCGGTTGGTAACACCAACCGGGACCAAAAGGCTGCTAGGCGTCAACAGCTCGCAGGCGCTGGGGTTTTTGTATTTTTTGGAAGGGGGGGTTTGGGGGTTTTGGAGGGTTAATTTAGGGGTTTCATATTGTGTTAGCTAGCTAATGGAGAGAAGTGACCTCTTTTTCTCCATGCTTGGTCGACGCTAGCTACAATACATATAGAGAGAAGTGAATTTTGGTCACTTTTGATCCATCCACATGGATCTAATCCACGTTCCTTCCACCAATGATATAATAACTAATCATGATCATAATAACAAATCATCATGATAATCATGATCAACATCGGCATCATATTAATACAAAACTTCTTGCATCATATCATCACCAATAACACTAGTTAATAATCATCATAGTCATTACCTGTTGTTGGAGAACGTAGTAATAATTCAAAATTTTCCTACATGCCATCAAGATCAATTTAGCAGATGCTAGCAACGAGAGAGAGGGAGTGCATATTCATACCCTTGAAGATCGCTAAGCAGAAGCGTTACAAGAACGCGGTTGATGGATTCGTACTCGCGGCAATTCAAATCGCGGAAGATTTGATCTTGCGCCGAATGGACGGCGCCTCCGCGTTCAACACACGTACAGCCCGGGGACGTCTCCTCCTTCTTGATCCAGCAAGGGGAGAGGAGAATATGAGGGAGAGCTCCAGCAGCACGACGACGTGGTGGTGGAGCTTGTGGTTCTCCTACAGGGCTTCGCCAAGCACTACGAAGGAGGATAAGGTGTTGGAGGAGGGAGGGGATGCGCCAGGGGAAGGGGTTGGTTCAGCCCTCTCTCTTCCTCACTATATATAGGGGGAAGGGGGAGGTGGAGGTTCCCTAGGGTTTCCTTAGGGGAGGGGCAGCGGCCACAGGGGAAACCCTAGATGGGTTTGGGCGCCCCCAGCCCTAGGAAACTTGCCCCCCAAGCCGAGAGGGGTTGTTGCCCTAGGGGAGGCGCCCCCACCTCTCCAGGTTACGTGAGATGGGGTGGGAGGGGCGCACAATCCCTTAGTGGGCTGGTGTGCCCCCTCCCCTTGGCCCATAAGGCCCCCCAACACTTGTCGGGGCCTCCAAAACTCCTTTCGGACACATTGGTCATCACCTCGTACCCGCGGAACAATTTCGGACTCCAATACCCTTCGTCCAATATACCGATCTTCACCTCTGGACCATTCCGGAGTTCCTCGTCATGTCCGGGATCTCATCCGAGACTCCGAACAACCTTCGTTAACCACATACTATTCTCATTACAACTCTAGCGTCACCGAACCTTAAGTGTGTAGACCCTACGGGTTCGGGAACCATGCAGACATGACCGAGATACCTCTCCGGCCAATAACCAATAGCGGGATCTAATTACCCATATTGACTCCCACATGTTCCACGATGATCTCATTGGATGAACCACGATGTCGGGGATTCAATCAATCCCGTATACAATTCCCTTTGTCCATCTGTATGTTACTTGCCCGAGATTCGATCATTGGTATCTCTATACCTTGTTCCATCTCGTTACCGGCAAGTCTCTTTACTCGTTCTATAACGCATGATCCCATGGCTAACTCATTAGTCACATTGAGCTCATTATGATGATGCATTACCGAGTGGGCCCAGAGATACCTCTCCGTCATACGGAGTGACAAATCCCAGTCTTGATTCGTGCCAACCCAACAGACACTTTTGAAGATACCTATAGTGCACCTTTATAGCCACCCAGTTACGTTGTGACATTTGATACATCCAAAGCATTCCTACGGTATCCGGGAGTTTCACAATCACATGGTCTAAGGAAATGATACTTGACATTAGAAAAGCTCTAGCAAATGAACTACGTGATATTGTGCTATGCTTAGGATTGGGTCTTGTCCATCACATCATTCTCCTAATGATGTGATCCCGTTATCAACGACATCCAATGTCCATGGTCAGGAACCACAACCATCTGTTGATCAACGAGCTAGTCAACTAGAGGCTTACTAGGGACATGTTGTGGTCTATGTATTCACACATGTATTACGGTTTCCGGTTAATACAATTATAGCATGAATAATAGACAATTATCATGAAGAAGGAAATATAATAATAATCATTTTATTATTGCCTCTAGGGCATATTTTCAAAAGTCTCCCACTTGCACTAGAGTCAATAATCTAGTTCACATCGCCATGTGATTAACACCCAGGAGTTTACTAGAGTCAATACTCTAGTTCACATCACCATGTGATTAACACTCAATGAGTTCTAGGGTTTGATCATGTTATGCTTACGAGAGAGGTTATTAGTCAACGGTTCTGAACCTTTCAGATCCGTGTGTGCTTTACAAATATCTATGTCATCTTGTAGATGCAGCTACCACATGCCATTTAGAACTATTCCAAATAACGACTCTACTATACGAATCCGGTTTACTACTCAGAGTCATCTGGATTAGTGCAAAGTTTGCATCGACGTAACCTTTTACAACGAACTCTTTTACCACCTCCATAATCGAGAAAATTCCTTAGTCCACTAGTTACTAGGGATAACTTTGACCGTTGTCCAGTGATCCATTTCTGGATCTCTCTTGTACCCCTTGACTGACTCATTGCAAGGCACACTTCAGGTCCGGCACACAACACAGCATATTGTAGAGCCTACGTCTTAAGCATAGGGGACGACCTTCGTCCTTTCTCTCTCTTCTGCCGTGGTCAAGTCTCGAGTCTTACTCAATACTGACACCTTATAACGCAGCCAAGAACTCCTTCTTCGCCGATTTATTTTGAACTCCTTCAAAATCTTGTCACGGTATGTATTCATTTGAAAGTACTATTAAGCATTTTTTATCTATCCTTGTAGATCTTGATGCTCAATGTTCAAGTAGCTTAATCCAGGTTTTCCATTGAAAAACACTTTTCAATCAATCCTATATGCTTTCCAGAAATTCTACATCATTTCCGATCAACAATATGTTAACAACATATACTCATCAAAAATTCGATAGTGCTCCCACTCACTTCTTTGGAAATACAAGTTTTTCATCAATTTTCGAAGTATGAGTATTTTGGATGAAAACTCGTCTATTACAAAGGTTTTTATTTTTTAAACTTATTTAAACTCTAAACTTTTTGTGTGTTCAAAATGCACCATTCAAAGTCACATCATCAATTTTCAACCCTTTCTAATTTCAAAATGCACCATTCAAACCCACATCATTAATAAAAGTTCATCACATTAAAACCAAAGTACAGTAGTGATCAAGTGTTATTACTGAAAAAATAAATACATAAAGTTCATACATAGTTCTCATTGAACAACATTTGATCACATACCTCCTAGATAAAAACATTTATGTCATGTTGGTCGGCATAGTTGTAATAAACACTAAATGAAACAAATAGTTATAGAAGATAATATATATACCACATCCGAATTATAGACAAGAAGAGGACCGACGGAGGCGGATATCAAAATCATCGCACTATATAGTAACAAACAATAATAAAAGTAAAAAAAATATACAAGTATCTATCTAAATCATACAACTAAGATTTTTTTTTCTTTTAGAAAGAAGATAAGAACAAGAGACTCATCACGGTGGTGCCGGCGACGAGATCGGCGCATGCGATCGACGGCGGTGAGGACGGGGACGGGACAAGACGGACCGTCAAACCTAGACAAATCTTGAGAAAAATGAAGTTTGGACAAGGAGTTTCAAGAGGAGAAAGCTTAAGTGTGGCTCGAACATCTCATCGAACACCTTATGTGCGTAAGAGGTGAGCTAGAGCACCAAAAACCCCTCCCACGACGGTCAAAAAAAAGAGCACTGGCTCTGTTGGCGGGCAGGGGCAGGGTATATATAGGTCTCTCTTTAGTCTCGGTTTGTGGCTAAAACCGGGTCTAAAGGACAATATTTGGTCCCGGCTCCCGCCACCAATCGGGACTAATGGTGCTGGGCCAGGAGCGAGGCTCATTGACCTCGCTTCGTGTCTAGAACCGGGACCAAAGGGGTCAGACGAACCGGAACAAGTGACCCCCGAGCCCGGCCGGTGCCCTGGCCTCACGAACCGGGACTGATGCCCCTTTGATCACGGTGCATGAGTAAACCGGGATTAATGCCCTTACCCAAGGGTCAACCAAAGCTCTGTTTTTTACTAGTGCACCAGAGTGCAAGGTTTCCTACGGCCGTATGGGCAGCACCGTGGACGGCGCTCTGGGAGACCTCATCGCAGGACATATGCCCCCGCCGGAGCTGCCAGCAAGCTGGGCGACGCTCGAGCGACGCGCTCAGCTGTGACATGGTGATGTCGAGGAGGAGGGGCGCCGCTAAGAACGTCCTGCACCAGGAGAACTGGCAGAACTTCGTGTCGGCACGCTTTGCCAGTAACATCGCCTTCCTAGGTTAGCTTATAGCAAGTGAAGGTTAGGAACACCACCAAATGATAAGGTAGCACGAGGTGAACTGGGAATTAATGTGCGAGGGAACATCACTCACGTGCCAATCCACTGTAAGCCGTCACCTATGACATGGCGCCTCGTCACCACTCAGCAGTTGTTTGCCATCATCCGTACCTTTTTTACGTTTCTTTCGTGGACGTTAATGAATCCTTCATGCTGGTAGAGCCTCGTGTTTGTTCTGGGTTCTATTCTCGCCGTGGGTCGTCTTCCTTGAAGTCTGACCAGCATGCACGCAGTCTCTGCCCGCCCTGGCCCACCAACACCCCAGATGGTTTATTCCCGCGAATATGCTCCCATGCTTTCGTTATCTCTGGCATCATTTCAAGCATATACGGATATACCCTGCATTAGTCTTCTCATCTCATCTCTCGTCTTCCACCTCTGCCCAGGCTCTCAATCTTGATATCTCTAGCTCGTGCAGCTCTGAACTTGTTTTGTTGGTTGTCATCTAACCATCGTTCGATCTGCCACCTGGTGCATGGTGGATGCCTGGGTGCATGGCGATTGCGCCAACACGCAGACGGTGATGATGGTTAGATGACCATCAGCAAACATGTTCATGAGACATGCGTCCTGAGCTCGTCATGTTTGCTCCGTGATCTTGGATGGTTGATGCGTGCCGACATGGATTCCATGATGACGCGGGTGAAGGTCAGGTTTCATGCATCCTATGCTTAATTCATCCGCCTGCTTGTCGCGAGGGTAAATAGGATGCAGTATTGACATCATTTCCTCATTGTGGAATGGACCAGGTAGGTGAATTCATATATGTTTGATTCGGTTTGTGTCGCTGTGTGCATGCAACGCAGGAATTTTTATACTCTATGATTCAGTTCCTCACTTGCCGAAACATCAAAATTCCTGGGTCGCGATGAGTTCCACCTACAAACTGGCACAAGAGAATCACAGTTTTCTTCAATCACCATTGGGGTAGAGGATTTCCACCTGAATATGTCAAGTGTCAGGCGCAAGGAGAGGTATTGCTGCCAAAGATCAAAGTCCGCTACAACGTTCGAGATGGTTACAAAGGAGGCGTGCGAGACATCACGGAACATCTTTGCGTTCATGGAATCTCAAAATTTTCAATGAATTGATAGGGCAATCGATACCCAGATGCCGTTGTCACGGCCATTTGGGTTTGCGGTGTCCCAAATCTGCCGCACGGAGTTGGAGCTCGTGATGCCAAAGTCAATCCAGACAGGCGTTGCAACAATGGCACATGTTGTTAGCGTGATGTGCTTGTGAAAGGTTTGCCTAGGAGTTGAGCAAGTCATGGAAGAGCAATCTCGGTAACGCATATTGAAATGAATATTTCAGATTGGGCGACTTTGTAGGATTTGAACCTTGTACGTAATTTTCCTAGGCGCCTTTGGAATAAGGGAATGCCACCTTGGAATTCTATGAAGCTCATGTGGGATGACCCGTTATATATGGATTTTCGAGGAAAACAAACGTGAGTGACAATTTACAAAACTCATCAAGTACTGATATTTTACAGCAATCCCCTCACGAGGTCATGCACATTCGCCCCTAAATGTTTCCCCTTGACCCAAGAACTTCTGAATAAGTACTGATAATTGCTGTTATGGTTGGACGATAGGGGCATATAGAATCCAACAGTCGCCCAATGTGTGGCGCCCAATAAACGGGTTTACAGCGTGCATGTAATTTTTTTTAGGGCGCTAGAAGACGTTTGCTCCAACAAGCGCTGCAAAATATGCTGCGCGCGCGAGTCCAGCGGTTCCATCTGCAGCAGCCCAGAGTTTGCAACGCGCGCGACCGGGCGCACTAAATATGCTGCGCGCGCTGTATTAGTTATAGCGCGCGCGCGCTTTTTGTGCGGCCGCTGGAGACTCCAAATCAGACCCGCGCGCGCTAAAAGCAACTTTTATACCGCGCGTCGCTCATATAGCGCTTCTGTTGGAGATGCTCTAAGTGTACTAATGCACTATGTCACTAATAACATATTAAAAGGCAACGAAAGAAAATTGAGATCATTTTATAGCATAGGGAAAAATATGTATCTATCATTCCACTATATATGAGATCCAAATTCAATTCATAACTTCATAAGCAAAGAAAGAAATATAAATTAGGTTGTGAATAGTATCAAATTCAAACGTTGAAACAATTATTTTTTCTCTTGAGTTGCTGCCGAATTTACATCTAAAAACTTGCGACGCAGTATACACATGTTGGTGTTACCACATGGTCCATAGAATGAGCAACTTAAAACGAACAGACCAAGGTATACACACCCGAAAACTATGTCTATTGCGGGAAGTGTTCTAGTGCTCCACAATTTATTTATTTTTGAAAAAGAAAATATATTAATATTGCGGAGATACCAATTACACCCGGCCTCTGCAACAACGCAATATCGTAAAGAGATTACGGATGCACACAGGCAAAAACAATAAGAAGAAGAAGAAGAAGAAGAAGAAGAAGAAAGATCCCGCAACAGTGATCAATTCTCGTAGTTACAGCATGAACCACCGCCTAGACAACACCTGAAGTCCTAATTCTCCAAAAGCGACGTCTTCAAGAAGGAAACAATGCAGAAGCATCGTCATCGCACGATCCTAAATCTTAGGTTTTCACCCCGGAGAAGATCCGCGCTCTCAAAACAGTGCCTTCAACAAGGTCACTGCTAGGCACAATCAATTAAGGCCAGACCTTGGGTTTTCACCCTGAAAGTTAAGACCCTGTACTCCGCTTGTGTTACCGCCCCAACTTGTTGATGCCACTGCCATGAGTCATGAATCACCAAGCAAAGTCCTCATTGCTGCGAAGACTCGATCTGCTATTACAAGACCTCAGACCTAAGCCACCATGACGTTCTCTGTCATTGTCTTCATCATGGAAATCAAAATACTGATGTGTCCCATACTGTCAACAAACAACAAAGCTTCGCGCCACACCCTTCTGAAGCCACTCAGGCTGAAATAGGGGCGCACACGACCGAATCCCATCCGATCCAGAAATCTATAGGCGTCAAGCACCCAATGAAGATCTCCAGCGGAGCATTCCGGAACTCGTCAAAGGCAAGATCCATAAGGATCAGCAACCGGCAGAACACCATCTTAGAGCAAAAAGAACCAAAGGACTGTGCTAGTGGGCTATCGATTATTACCGGGTTTCTTTCTTTCTTTTTTCCTCTCTTTTTGTTTTTCCTTATTTATTAAATACCCATTGAACATTATTTTAGATACATGCTAAACATTTTTCAAATAGACTATGAACATTTATTTGAAATTCATGTTAAACTGCTGTAAAATGCACATTGAACATTTGTTTTAATACACAGTGAACATTCCTAAACACACCTTGAACATTTTCAAAAGTTTCATGAACATTTTTTTGTAAAACATGTGAACATTTCTAAACTGTTTAAAAACATTTTTATACAGTGTTTATGAACAGTTCGTTTTCTTTTCTTGGTTTTCCTTTTTTTCAAATTCATGAAGTTTTTTTATCCTCACCAACATTTTAAAAAATGTATATCATGCATTAAAGAATATTATCATGAATTTAAAAATGTCTTCATGCACTAAACATGTTTACGATGTTTTTATTTTTTTGTTCTCTTTTATCCAGTTTTAAATAATCAATCACATTTATTTCAAATACACGTTGAACATTTTTCAGATACAAGCTGAACATTTATTTATATACATGTCGAACATTATCAAATGCACGTTGAACATTTGTCAAATGCATGTCAAAAATTCTTCAAATACACAGTGAACATCTTTTAAATACATGTTGAACATTTTGCAAATAGATGTCGAACATTTTTCTAATACACAATGAACATTTTAAATAAACAGTGAACATTTTTAGTTACATGGATATTTTAAAAATACATAATGAACAAATTTGAAATACAAAATTGAAATTTTTAAATGCACTGAATAATATCAAATATATATAAATTTTCAATTAATACATGATGAAGATATTTAATACATGATGAATTTTCTAATACATGAAGCCCCAAGAGTGTAATACCTTGAGCGAGTAGTAGAGCGGATAGAAGACATAGACTTTTTCTTTCCATTTAGGTTGATTTTTTTAATATAATGATTTTTAAGTACCTAACAAACATTTTTAAAGTTAATAAATAAAATATATATTCAAATATATATTTTTAGAACATTTCGAATATATATAAACAAGAGAAAAGAAAAGAAAAGGTAAAAAATCCTTCCAAAGTTTGAATAGAAGAAGAACAACAACAACAAACTAACAAAACATAAGGTCAAAATAGGGTAAACTCCCATTCTCCAAAAAAAAGACATACACACAAGAAATAAATGAACTGAAGAAAAAACAAACGATCAGAAGAAACAAACGAACGAATCGAAGATGCTTGATACTGGGCCGACCCACTATAGCGACCCTTGAAGCGAGGCGTCCATCTATTCTCGCTACAAGCTAGAC